CACGCCGAATATGCAAACGCAGCCGTTTTCTCTTTTATCTGCCACGATTGATGGCGGGCTCCTGGTTCCCAGCCATTCGTCACTGGACGAATGCTGAGGGTCAAGTGCCAGCTGGGGGGCTGCAGCTGGGAGATATGGAGGTGGTGGAGCTGCACAGCTCACCTCGAACACGTCACGCTCAGCTTCCTGCGTCACTCAGGAGCCGCGTGCTAACTCTGCAGAGCTTCAACACCGACACAGATCAGGTGTCTGCAGGAGCTCGGCTGGACCCACAGCAACATATTTACTCAGATCCACAGAACAGATGTTACAGGTTTGTGCTACAAGCAAGCAACGTGGCGAGCGGTCGAGTGTTACGGGAACTCTGATGTTAGAGACTGATCCTGGAGTTTATTTCAGGTGCAGAGCGCAGGGAGACGAATATTTAAATGAACTCTAATAACAATGTTTGCGTCACACACATACAGTAGCAGCATGTTTGCAGTCCTCCGTCAGAGGCTGAAGCTCGTCGCAGGACTGCCGCCGCGGGCCGACACCTGAACACGCGTTTGAGTCACGACTCAGCGAGCTGTTAGTGAAACACCTGCAGCTGCAGCTGTTCTCTCGGTCTGCGACCTTGAATCGTGGGCACGTCGTGTTGAAATGACGGCGCTGTTGTGGGGGCGTAATCCGTGAAACCTACGGCATGGAGACACGAGGCAGGCTGTTCCCACTCACGTACAAAAACACACAAGTACAGAAACCTCTCAAACATCCATGAACTCTTTATTTACCAGCGTTTGTTTACAGACGGACGTCTTTCGTTAAATTTAAAACCGTTTGAATTTTGGAGTCATTTGAAGATTTGCTTATAAGATGGTAAATAAAGGGTTAAAAGCATTTTTCCAAGCTGTGAAGACTCTACTGAGCATGTGCAGATGAATGATCCCTCAGATTCAGGCTTTTCATCATCTTTCCATCTTCGGCTCTTTAGCGCCACCTGTGGGTCACAGTTGGACCCACCGCAGCGGCTGATCAGTCGACCCTCAGATAAGCCCACGCTCCTTTTGTTTCTCCCTCTGCTGCCGATGCTTTTGAGTTATGACCTCTCACCTCCAACCCTCCTGAGGTCGGACCGTCCCGTCCTCCCTGCTGAGAGCTCATAATTCAAGCCTCACCTGAGCGTCTGTCCTCACCTCATCCCTGCTCCATCACTAACCTTCATCTCTGCTCTTTAAGCAGCCGCGAGCACCGACTCTGACCCCTGTGTCTCCTGCCCTCCGCAGGTCCAGCAGCTAAGAAGAAGTACGTGAGCTACAACAACCTCGTGATCTAACGGCGCTCCTCCGTCACTGCGAGATGTCTGATCTCCTGCAAGAAGGACGAGCAACGGGAGAAAAGCGGCGACGTGCAGGACTTTTTCTTTCTCTTCTTTTGGTCTCATGTGCTTCACCGCCCATCGGAGACGTTCAGGTGCAAAGCGGAGCGCGGTGGGACGACCTCTGAACTCTGACCCCTCGGGGTCGAGAAAAGCTCCAGAAATAAAAATCTAATTGTTTTGTCGTTGAAGTGATGCCAGTGGTTGTGAGGTCGAACGC